CTAGGGGCCGCCCATGGAGGTGAGCGTCCCGTGGAGCGGCGTGGTGGCTGCCGGGGCTCTAGGCTGTGACCGCGGGGCCGCCCAGGCTCTCTCTGGCTCCGGGGTAGGGTCTGCTGACACCTGCTGCTGGGGAAAGGGCTCGTGATGGGGCTTCCCTGGGGCCGCCGGTAGCTGTTGCAGTCTGGAGGAGGCAGTGTTGCCACGTCTTAAATATCATATTGGAAGCTCGCAATTATTGTATTGGCTGAAAAACTTGTACACTGAAAAATATGCAATAAATAAATATGTAAATAAGTCTTACTGACTTGATATGGATCACTGTAACCCACCAGTGAGCCAGGGGGTTCCCAAAGTTGAAGCAATTCTTTATTTCTAGGCAAGCAGCTGTAAGAAACTGCTGACAGCAAACACAAAGGTCAGTTAAGGCTCCCTAGGAGTGACTTGGGTTTTGCGTTTGCTGCATCAGTTAGTTGCCTCAAAAATCATTGTATGTTTTGGGCACTTTTACTAGTATTGATTGTACATCGTACAAGGATTGAAACTATTGAAACTGCGATAATTTTCATAGGCCTGGCAACAGTGCTGCGAGCTGCGCAGCTCCCTGGTTGGGCGATTTGGAACTGGGGTGGGGAAAGAGGGAGAGCAAAAGCTGCCTTTGTGAACTGCTTTTTAACCTTCCATGCATGACTGAGGGGAAGGAGTCATTAGGACTCTGTATATAAAAGGGTTTTAGCTTCAATGGGTGGGATGGCCTCCTGCATAATCAGCCACGTGGAATCTGCAGGGTCATGGGGGAGGTGGGGGGAGATTGCTTCTACCTGACTCCACATGTAATTACATCTTCTTCTACCCTCGCCCTTGTCTTCATAGCCTAAAGTTGCATTCAGGAGCACCAGTGGCTGTTGGAGCACTGCAGAAACCAGCAGCAGGCTGACTGATGTATTCAGTAGCATTAATATGACAGGCTCTGGCTCATTTTATGACTGCTACAAATCACAGGTTTGCTTAACTGTTTCTAAGTTAATAAATGTATCTGTATATATTTACAGGTATGTTTTTCTTTCTTTCTTTGAGTAAAACAAATCCAACCAAAAATGTTATATTTAATCCAGCTGTCTGTACAGCAACCCATGCAAAAGTTTTGTATGTTTTTGCTTTGAAATAAATGTTTATTTAAAAAGCTGGTACTCATATGTGGATGGATGACTTTTTTTTTCATTTCTTCCCAACACTAGTGAAGGAAACTGACTACTGTTTTCAACTTCTTCATTCTTCTGTTTCTGTTCTTTCCTCACTGGAAAGAAAGGGATCCACTACTGTGTCCAATATTTGCTTTCTTTGACCAACCAAAATATTCTCTGTATCATTGCAATGACATGAATTCTCAAATAAATGCTTCAATTTGAAAACTGTCAGAATAACAGGAAGGTGCTTCACAATAATGGGATACTCCCCTGAAAGGTTGTTGGCATCAGGCCTATAAAAATATAAAGATTAAATGGTACCCCATGGCCTTACTCAGAGTGGTAGGGATCTGTATAAACATAAAGATGTGATCCCTACCTCTTAGGCAAGCAACTTTAGAGGAAGGCATAGTCAAGTATCTTCCAAAAAAAAAATCCTATTATGATGAATAGACACTGTCACTACTGGGCTCTTGCCTTACAGATATTTTCATACGTAGATTTTTGAGGAGAAATTAAAAGGAGAAAAGTAGAGCGGATGTTCATACTGAGCATTCTGTATGCATGGAGAAGGGTGAAAAAAGCTTCAATGTTTGCATGGGGAAATGAGAGATGGATTAAGGTGGATTAAATAGTGTTAATATTAGTTGAGAATGTGGGGCACTGGAGAAAAAAATAAGGACTTCTGCTTGTGTGTAATAAGGTCAAGATGACAAGGCAAAAAAAAGTCATAAAAATTAAGATATAGGAGTGGTTGAGAGAAGTATCTTAAGAGAGGAAAGATGGATCTAATCTAAAGATAACAGTTTAAACTAAGACCACTTAAATATAAAATGCTAAATACAAAAGATGGGATGACTGAAATTCTGAAAGATGAATATATGAGGACTTGACAGGTGATAGTAAAGAAACAGTCAGAAGTGGAAGAACAAGGAGAGGCTAGTTGTGAATGTAGATAAAAAATCAAATGTCAAGGAGGATGTGATCAAAAGTAGACGGGTTGAGAATTACGCAGACGGAATAGAGGCCTGCATTGAGACCAGAGAACAAAATTGCTTTCATCGAGTTTGAATGAATTTGGGAGGGTAGGATCCAGAAGAGATGGGAGACTAAAATGGTGTTGGAAGAGAGGAGCTAGAGCAGGGGTGGGGGAAAAAGCATCCCACTAGGCCATTCTATCCAGCCTGCGGGGCCCCTAAAAAAAACTAGAAAATTAATAGTTACTTGCCCTCAGCTGCCTGTCATGCAGCCCTGGATGGCTTGCCAAAACTCAGTAAGCTTCCCTCCACCTGAAATAATTTACCTCCAGTTCAGGGGCAGGCAGTGTTGCAAATTATGCTTCTGTGAGTTTTAGAAGTAAAGCAAAATAAGGTCATTGGAAGGGCTGGGCAGTTGATGTCAAAAGTGGAGTGGACTAAACTTAACCATCTCAAAGAGCTAGCTCTACTCTGCTTTCCCTTCAGGTATCTTTTTAGACATATTTACACCATAGGCTAGATTTTGCAAGTGCTGTAGCACCTAACTTCTTGATACCCAGCTGCCAAGAAGTCAGAACCCCCAAGCAAGATGCTTAGGCTTCTGTAAACAATCCATGCAGAGTTAGGCATCTAAGGATGGGAGTCTAAGAAACCACCACATGGAGAGAAGAGGAGCCATTTAGCATTTCTTCCTGGATAATTAAAGGGAAAATGGTGCTAAATTCTGCTGTTTAACAGATGAGTCTCTCTCCACTTTGTTTCAAAGCTACAAACTCTCGTGCATCTAAGCCAGGGGTGGGCAAAATGTGGCCTGGGGACTGGATGTGTCCTGCCAGGCCATTCTATCCAGCCTGCGGGGCCCTTAAAATTTTTCAAAAATTAAAATTTATCTGCCCTGGGCTGCCTGTCATGTGGCCCACGATGGCTTGCCAAAACTCAGTAAGCAGCCCTCTGCCCAAAATAATTGCCTGCCCCTGATCTAAGCCAAGTCACTTCCTCCCTACAAACAAATGATTAAAAAGTTCCAGTCACCATTTACCTAAAATCCCACAGATTACAGTGCTTGCCTTAGATGTGGGAGGTGTTCATTCACACTTCTCTTCTACTTGTTTTAAAGAAAGGTATGGAACTAGTGTCTCCAACCACCCCAAAATAGCCCAATCATTGAGCTGTAAAGTATTCTGGCAGGGACTCTAGTCTCTTCCCTCTCCCTTTCAAGGTGTTCAATTTTGTTAAAATTGTTGTTTATTTAGAGGACAGAAAATGTTTTTTGTCCAGTAGATGCAGCATTCTTGTGGGAATTTGGAGACATGGGTTCAGTCCCTGCTCAGTTCAGGCTGAGGAGTTTTCATTTCTGAACTGGTTGTTTCTGTATCCCAAGTTAGATCTTTAACTGCTGAGCTATTGGGTTTAAACAGTGGTGTAGACATCACCTTACTATGTTTCATTTGTGACCTGATTTTTTTTTTGTAGACCTCAAAAGAGGTGAGGCCCAAATCCTCAAAAGTTCATAGGTGCCAAATTCCTCTTAAATTCAGTATGAGCTAGGATTAGATCCTCAGTAGCATTCGGCTGTTAAGCATTCTTGTTTTACAGTAAACAAACTGAGGCAGGAGGCTGTTATAAAAAGATTTGCCCAGCATGTGTCTCAGGAAACCAGTAGCAGAGGTAAGAATAGAGCCCATCTTCTGAGTCTGTCCTTTGATGTAGCCACTGAGTTGTACTGTTTTGTAAGTTTTTATGTGAAAAGATTCTGTGGTGTTTTAAGCTCCAAACTTGCCCTGTCTTCAAAAATAGCGTAAGAGTGATGTAGCCTTGACGGTCCCGAAATTCTGCAAGAGGCAACAAGGATTTTTATGATGATGATTATCTTTTATTGAACCTCCTGTGTAGGAGAGTTAGACAAGCTTTCAGATAAAGACATTCTTCATAAGACTCTTCTGCCTGGCTCTTCTGGTCAGACCTGATGAAAAATGTCATGCATTTGAAAGCTTGTCTAATTTTCTTATGCAATTGGTGCAGTAAAAGATACCACCCTAAGAAATTCTTGCCTCTCTTTTTTTGTTAATATTTTACAAAACCTGTTCATATTTTCATGTATTAAAATTTTTGGGAAAATAAATTTGTTTCATTGGAAGACTTGTCTCCTGTAACATCTGGAATATTGAAGTATCCTTCTATCATAGGAGAAATGAAAACTGAAACTGTCTAAACAATAGCAACTGGGTTTTTGGTTGTAGCTGTATTGGTCTAAGGACATAGGTAGGCAAGGTTCTGTGAGTAGGCGTGATATCTTTTATTAGACCACCTGAGAAGTTGGAAAAAAGTTCTTGTCAAGCTTTTGGGTGCAATCACCCTTCTTCCAGCATAGGGAGTCTGCTGTTCTGAGCCGTCAAGGAGTGAAGAGTGTTTGCGCCTGAAAGCTTGCTAAGAACTTTTTTCCAGCTATTCAGTTGGTCTAATAAAAGATATCATGTCTACTCAAAAAACCTTGCCTAAAGAATAGCAAGGCTTCCATTTCCTGTAATTCAGAGAAATTAATCTTGCTTGTAAAATTCTCAGTTTTAATCATGTAAGTTGTAGTGGTGCCTAGATTCTGGGCTAACAAAGAGTTCATTTTATGCTCCTGTGCACTGGTGGGCCAGACAGTGGCCAGTAGCAACACTTTAACAATATCTTAATTCTATAGGAAAATTGCCTATTGTTGTTTTTGGTATCAGTAAACTGTGCTTGCTACTTGCACTGGCCAACAGGCAGCTTAGACATGGCGATTTGATAGTTTGGGGGTGGGGTTGGTTTTTTTTGGCACTGACCAGTTTTTTTATTGTATTTAAAATGCAGAATGAAGACAGTGTAGATCTGCCTCCAGCCTACAGTTCTTCACTTTCTACAGCATCAGAATATCCAGCTTCTGTGGATCCTTCTCTCTTATATGCACCATGGTCTACGTATGGAGATGATAAACAATCTTCTGTTTCTCAGATTAGTGTAAAGAACAGGTATGCTAAACAGGTTACTTTGACAAAATTAGATATCACATGTTAAAAGGAATATTTTCTTATTTGAACTTGAGACAAAGTTTCCAAAAGCACCTAAATGGCAAAAAGCCAAATTTGGAAAAGTATTTAGGCACATAAAGATGAAAATGGGCACTTTTGAAAATCCTATTAACTGCATATTTAGGGGTGGAAATGTCTTTGAGAACAATCTTAGTTTTGAGGAAAATAGTGTGTGTCCTTGCTGTTATGGGGGTGTTGCTGCACTTTTGAAATTCTTTAGAAATTATTTGAACACTTTTGAAGAATGTAAATATATAGTTGCTTCCTCTGATTAGACTGCTTTAAATTTTGCTTGTGGCTTCCCTACAGTTGTTTAGAAAATTTATTATTTTACTAGCTCTGTAGGTAATTTTTTTTCATCTTTGACTACATTGTCTTAATGGAACATAAATATTATAAGAAGCTTTTTTTTTTTTTTTAATCCAGCATTGTGCCACTGAAATGCTAAAACAAATCAAGCTCAAGCTGTAGCTGCATAGTTGCTAACTGAAGGATACATATTGTGTCATCTATACGATTTTATACATATCCATTTATACCTGATGTTTAATAAATTAGCCAAATACATCTTGTAGTTGGAACATTTAAGGCCCGTGAGGGAGAAACTGGGAAAATACTTTTACAAGTGCAAGGCAAGATAGATGTTGAGGGGATCGGTTATTTTCCTTTTAAATGTAAAGATGCTTGACAAGTGCTGGATAACTTCAAACCTACTAGAAGTCAACATGAATTTGAAGGAGCTCAACAAATTGCAGTAGAGCAGGTACTATGCTGTCAGAATCTGGTGTGCATAGCAAAAATAAGTGTTCAACTGATTTAAAACCAACTTCAGAATAAAGACTAAAAAGTGAGGAATACTGTTTGAGTTATACTTAAGATTTTACCCTGGCTTCTTAAAAGAAATTATATATTGATTAGATTTTCTTTTTTTATTTCAGGATTCAGACTGAAAGAAATGAATATGGTAGTGAAACAGATTTATATGGCCTTGTATCTAACATCTTGGAAGAACAAGATAAATCACAGCCATATTTATCTGAGGGGTTAGTATACTGTGTATTTATTCCTGCAGAAGCATTTATTTTCCTTCTGAGTTTTTGTTTATTTAACCAGTCAACATATACTGATGGCAGAAGTCTTTAGCTCTTAAACCCATTTCCAGTTTTACTAAGTAGATGGTGATGTGAAAAGTTCTGACTAGACCAGTGGTACTTAACCTTTGTCCCTGTGGGCCAAATGATTGGTATAGGGCAGGTCTGCAGGCCAGATCAGACCCTGCCCTCCTCCCCCCCCCCCCCCCAAATCAGGCCAGCATGCCTGGATCCAGATCATGCTGCCTCTGCCTGGTCCCATATGTAAGGATCAAGACCCTGTGCCACTTCCATCTAGACCCATATGCAGGGATTGGGGTCCACACTACCCTGTGCAGCAGATCTAGTATGCAGGGCCATAGCCCATGGGGCTCCTCACAGACTGTGGGCTCGATCTGGCCTGCATTATTATTGGCCAGTGGTTCTCAACATCGGACTTGAGGCAACCCTCGGAAGAAGCCAGCTCTTTGTTATTGCTTGTTTCTTGACTACAGAAAAGTAATACAGCAATTCTGTTTCAGATGATTTGGAAAGACCACAACAGATCAGAACATTTTTGACATTATATGGATTCCTGTTTGAAATCTCTGGCCTTATCTTGCAAATCACATATAGATGTTTTCACACTTAATAGTGCTCATATTTTATGGCACCTGTGTAAAAATTAAAAAAAAAAAATCATGGGAGCTCAAGGTGCTGCAAGACTCTGGTTGAGAATCATTGCACTAGATTTTAACTTGTATTCTGACAAGTACTATAAATAGTACTGTATTAGCTAGTACTCTGGAAATGAGTAAACATATTATAGCCACATTCTCTGGTTAATTTTCTGCAGCAGGATTGATTTAGATCAAGGGTGTTAAAGATAGGGCCCACAGGCTATATCTAGCTTGCAGAACTGTGGTATCTGGTCTGATGGTCTGAAAGTTGGGGGCATAGCCAGTAGGGGGTGGGACCACCCACAGAATTTGAGGCCCTTAGAGGCAGGCGGGTGAACAAGGGTTCAGTTGATACAGTCCTGCTTATATTACTGCTGCTGCTACAACCAGTCCCTCTGTTCCTACTGCCAGCCCATCTAGCCATGCTGCAGTTGCCTTTGCCCCAGGCTAGGTCCAATCCATGAGAAGCCACACAGTCTGGATCCTAGCACAAGCTGGGTTTGACATCCTGATTTAAATAGTAGGTTTGATTTGTTTTTTTTTTTTTGTTTACTTGTTTGTTTTTGTTTTTCCCCTCACCTGATGCCTTCCCCTAGTTAATTGAAACCCATAAACAAAGAACAGGGTTTTTTGGGGGGTTTTTTGCTTTTCTTTCAGTAGTTCATTTAATATTTTGTGATGCATCTGTCATTTTTTCCATCCCTTAAAACAAATACTTCGGGCTACATGCACAGAATTTTTGTACTCTTTCTAAACTTAGAAGAGGCTTTTATGACTATTATATGGTCCTCATTACTGTGGTCTCTGAGTACTGCATAATCTTTAACTATTTTATCCTAACATTCTACAATATAGGTATTATGCCTACTTCACAGAGAGGAAGCTGGTATAGGAGGATTAGGTCTAGATCTTTAAAAGTATTTGGGTACCTAGTGCTTGTTGACTTCAATGGAAGTTAATCACTAATGTACTTCTGCTGATCTGGGCCTAAGTGACTTGCCTTAAGTTACACAGGACTTCTGTGATGGAGCACAAGATTGAACCCAATGGTGTTTTTCCAAATTAAGAGAAATACAATGGTCATGGAACATGATAGCCTGTTGAAAACATTTCTCTTCTGAGCAGTTCAAATAGCGCTGCTATCTGGAAATGTTGCAGTAGAACCCCTATGCTTTGCAGAGAGAGATTCCTAAGCCCCCTGCAGAGATGAGATGTTGTGAATTATCTAGGGATATACAAAGCCAAAGCAAATAGGTGTGCAGGACCACTGAGATGTTCCAACTATTTTAAGTGGCTTTTATTTTAAATAGCATTGCTTCTGCAGTTAGATATGTGGCTCAGTTGATGAAGTTCATCTGATCTAAGAGGTGGTGCCCTTTGAAGTGAAAGTTGAAACAAGTGGCTGAGTGGCTTATGTTTCATTTGGCAACTCATTGTGAATTAAGCAGGTTGTGAACCAGCGAGATATAACATCCAGATAAAGTATTGTCTCCTACTTATGCAGCAATTTGTATATATAAATTAAAGGCATTGTGGTCTGTGGAAGGGATATGGAGGGTTTTTTGCAAGTCAAAAGTCAATGAAAACTAATTAAAGGGAATCACAAACAAAAGTTGAAAGGAGGATGGTGGAAATGATAGTATATTGGGATGTGGGATGTCTATCGTATAAGGAAACTGGTGGGTTAAAGGGAAGAAGAGTGATTGTCCAAGTTCTTTTTGTGCTTCCTGTGGGAGGAAAACCAAAGACAGATTTGTAAATATATGCATGTTTCCTTTTTCTAGGACCTGCACCTCCAATTTAAAATCAGTATGGCCTGTGAACACCACAAGACTTGCAGACCACCATGATTTGTTGTCAGAAAGTAAAAGGCCCGTAGTTGCAGCCATATCTCAACATGTTTTTTATAGTGGTGAATCCACATCCGCTGCTGAGAAACAATACTTGCATAATAGTAATCTTGCATCACAACAGAAAGCAGATGAACTTTATCATGGATTTCCTAGCCTAGACCTTGAAGAGCAGTGGTTGTACCCTTCTAGGAATGATCATGTCAGCTGTTACAACATGCAGACTAATGAGAACGCTAAGACACCACTATTCCAAAACTATCCATATAACAAAAATTCTTATACACCACAAACTGGATTTTCAGAAGCAATAAAAGAATCGGGAGCAGATCCATATTCTTATGGAAGAGAGAAGGTATGTTCCAAAGGATCTGATGCACAGTTGCAACAGAAGCGGGCAGAAATGTTTCTTTCACAATTTAATAGATACAGTGAAAACACAGACTACTGTAGGTACCCCGAATATTCTAATCCTAAAGCAAAACATAATAAGAGTACAAACTTTAATGTCCAAGATGGTAAGAAATTAGCCAATGGAATATCTGAACCACCAGGTATGGACACAGATACCTACACTAAACTATTTCAAGTGAAGCCAGCAATTCAGAAAAAAATGGAAGATACTATTGCAGATCAGCAGAACTTCACATTTTCAAAGACTGCAGGGCTATTGTCAGAAAAGCAATTTGGAAATGAGCCTACGTTTACTACCGATTTTGGGTTAAAATCAGAGTATGGTTTAAAATTGCATATAGCTTGTCCAGGAAGTAGTGAGTTCGCAAATGCCACAGAAAAGCAACAGTTTTCCAAATCTGATCCTCAGAGTTCTGAATATTTTAAAACGCTTAGCTTATTATCACACTCAGCAACTACATCAGTAGGCACCAATGTAAGGCCAACTTGGATGAGTATTCAAACTAAACCCAATACTTCTGTATCGTACCAGAATACAGGTCCTTTGAAGTTGAATCATTTACCTGCTGCTGCAAAAGGTTCCAGTCATTCTAATGATTTTTCTCAATTGTCATCTTTAAATTTAACTTTAAATAATAATTTGTTTCAGAAATACTGCCAGGATAATTCATCAGCATTTTCTAGTTTTGATTTTGGTTACAATGCTGCAGAACGAATTCAGTCTGCTAATTATATGGAAGGACTAACTAAGGTTGGAGAGGAGAGTCTCTTTGAATCAGTTACTGACAAGAAAATAAAGCAGTCAAATGGATTTTGTGAGAACTACTCACCTCAACAGTATGGGATCATTGAAAATGTGAAGAAACACAATTTCCAAACTAAGTTGCAGGTTGGACATTATGATTCCGAGGAAGGACAGAAACACTTAGATGGATTGTCACAGAACACCTACCAAGATCTGTTGGAATCGCAGGGTCACTTTAATAGTCATAGACAAGGAAGTGGAGATAGTAATGCTGTCAGTAACCGTGTGAATCGTGCACCAGCTTCATGCTTTTCAAACAATTTTATGATGGGTGATTTAAGACAGAATTCTAACTTTCAACAACTTGGTTCGAATGGGTTTCCCTTGAGATCCACTCTTCCATTTAGTCATTCTGTTGTTCCTCTGATAGATTCCTATGATTTATTTTCTTATGATGATTTAAGTCATTTATATCCTTATTTTAATGACATGATGTATGGTGATGGTTCTTTCTCTGGTTTTGTACCAACATTTGGATTTCAAAGGCCAATTAAAACTCGTAGTGGACCTGCCAGTGAACTTCATATTAGGCTGGAAGAATGTTATGAACAATGGAGAGCTTTGGAAAAAGAAAGAAAAAAGGTAATAAATATTTATGCAAAAGATAACTCCAGTATACTTTGTCATGAGTCTAGTTTAGAAATGACAGTTTATTCCCCTAAGGCAGCAAGTCTAAATCTTGACAGGTTTTTGTTTGTTTGGTTATTTTAATTTTTATTTTTTAAGGTTTGAGAGTAAAGTACTTTATGGGGATTTAGGGAAAAGAATACTTTCATGATATAGAATGAGAATGGGAGGTGAAAGGATAATCTTTGATTCCAGAGATATCATGGACTGGTTCTGGCTGCAGCTTAGCCTGCATTTGCAACAGAGTACAACTCACCAAAATTCTAGCTTATTCTGTGAGTATAAAATGAATTTCTGGAGAAATTGCAAGTAAATCTATTATCTAATTTAGGAATTTGAATGAGTTTTAAAATGATCCTTTAATGCATAGGGGTAGTCCTTTTTAAATTTTAATAATGATCCTAGTAGCAGATTCTTCAGACTTCCCTTGTAATTAAAATTCAGTGGAATCATATGCTATGTATCTGATATTTGACGATTTTTTTTGGATCAATAATATATCCATTATTTTTCACAAATTTACTCACCTATTAATAAAAAGTGTTCTTTAGCCTCTTATACAGAAAACTGAAGAACTACTTTATTCAAAATGGCTGCCATTTATAGTACTCAATGGGACTGTGGCCACTGACTATCCCCCACCAAATATGACAGCTTTCAGCTCCTGACAGTTTAGCTGGCTATACCCTATTTGGGAATAATGAGACTGGCCATTATGAAAGTGCAGTTCTCAAGATTTTCTGAAAAAGAATTTGCCCTTCTCTGTTTAAAAAAAACTATGGGTATGAAATATACTGGCAAAAGTTATCATGAATTACTTTTGCAACAGATGTGCTGAACAAGGAAGGTGGTAGAAAAAGGGATATTTATATCTGTATACCTTTAGAAAATGCAGGAGGAGAGAAAAAGAAATGGGTGTATGTGCATAGAAAATTAAAGGGAATTTAAAGATTATGAGGGAAGTGAACAGTAAGGTTTGTGTTTATGGTGCTTTGGTGGTATTCTAGTTAAACAAAGCAGCTCTAATCTCATTTTACATGGCCAGTGTACCCTGGTTGTTTTAGGATACTCTAGATAGGTAGAAAAAAGTCCCCATATGCTGTGAATTTGATGGTAAAAGTATATTTGAAAATATGAAATATAATCTTTCAACAGTTTAAAAAATAATTAAATTATCGATAGTAGTATCAATTTTTATCATTATTATTCATGCGCAAAATAACTTTAGACAAATACTGTGTTAAAATTGAATTAAGGTTGAGGTGCATATAATTCATTATAAGGTAAAATACAATGCCAGGATAATTTTACTCAGGAAATTAAAGAGGTACATTTTAAACTGAAGTCATGATCATGTTAAGGTATGAATCATGTACACAGATGGTTTCAACTGCTCAGTATTTAACACTTAAGAGAATAAAAATAACCAAAACATCAAAACCTACTTCTGAAAATAAATAAAATGCCATATTCATAATTTAGTGGTTGTTTTGTGGTGTGCCTACAGGGAAAAAAATAATGTTTTAACTCTGCATGTTCAGATCTTAACAGATTTCTTTTGACTTAAGTTTCCTGGTTTTACAATACTTGATTTGGCATTAAAGACAACTTGTGTGTAATATATTTTGATCTTAACTTTTCAGTATTTAATCTGTTCTGTCTTTAGTTTTTGGCTGCAAATTAATGACCATTAAAACATACATGAATTAGCCTTATTCAAGAAATCAAAAAGTATAATTATTAAAAATGGTTGCTTAATACTGTGGTGCATAGTGTTGTGGCATCATTAGTGCTCAGTGTTCATGTTTCAGGATAAAAGCTTTAGCGTAAGTCCTTATTTTAAATAACAGTTACTTTGAGTGAACAGAGTCATTTCAGTTTAAGAATGCAGAGGATTATCATATCAGGGGGTAAATTGGTATTTGACTCCCCCTACTGAAATCCGTGAGGAATGACACACGAGGCTTAACTTGCTCGAAAGCGCCGTTCGTGTGAACAAAAATGCACTGCACCAAAAAAAAGCTGTCCGTGTTAAACTTTTCAGGCTCTCTACATTAATGTCCGTGTTGTCTACTCACCCCCTTAGAGAGCTAGTGATCTGGTAGTAACTTTTTTTGAAACTGGTAGACTGAATACTATCCAGACTAACATTCTGCTATCCAAATGATATCTATAACTACTAATTAATTTAGGATGTACACATGCAGAATTATTAGGAAGAGCGGCTTCTTGGGGTTTGTTTGTTTGTTTTTTTAATGTGTTTATAATCTGATTTGTTCTTGCTTCTTGCAGGAAAAATTAGAAAACGCACTTCGTTAACTTGACCAAAAAAAAGGGTCACATTTTGTTTTTGCATTTCTTTGTCAGACTGAATCTGCTCTTGCCAAGAACTACCCAGGAAAAAAGGTTTCTAGTACTAACAACACACCAATTCCAAGGCTTACATCAAACCCTTCAAGAGTTGATCGCTTAATTGTGGATCAGCTACGTGAACAAGCCAGAGTGAGTTTTAAAATAACTTTAAAAAGTACATCATAGAACTTGTTATTTATGGAAGCAATGTATACTTGTATACAATTAAGTAAAGTTAGAAAGGATAGTCTAAAGCAGGGGTGGCCACCTGCAGCACATGTGCCACAAATGGCAACTGACAGTCTGTGTGGCACATGGCAGATTGGGGAGGGGGACAGGCAGCAAAGCAGTGGATAGAGTGGGGAGTGTAGGGTAGAAAGAGTGGCAGAACAGACA